GAGTTTGACTTCAAATAATTAGTTTAAAAATATATGTAAGCCCATAATCAATCCTTGTTCAACAGAATTTTATTATAATTTACTTTGTTATTTACTTTGTAAATTTACAAAGTAAATTTAAATCTTGAGAATATTTTTGAAGCCCGTTCTAGTAAAATATATTTAGAAGAAAATATATATAAATATATAACCAGCTATTTATTGTGCATGTGTTTAATGATATGTCGGGACATTAATGTGGTCTGTTTCTAGCTGAGGTTTGACACATGCTGCGGTGAGTCATGACTGAACATTTGTTCAAACACACATAATGACCACATCTGTATACTCATGTTTACTCATGACCAACTTCTGACTACGAAAATGTAGAGCGAGCTGATCTCAGAGCCGGCCTACATACTTAAAACTTAATGGGAGCATGTGGAGGTGGACCAACATTTGGGGTACATAAGGAGGTGGATGAACTTCTGTGGTGCAGCCAGGTGGAGCTGGACAAATTGGACAAATTTGGGGTACATAAGGAGGTGGATGAACTTATGCCGTGCAGGTGGAGCTGGACAAATTGGACAAATTTGGGGTACATAAGGAGGTGCATGAACTTATGCGGTGCATGTGGATGTTGTCGAACATGTGGGGTGTACGTGGAGGTGTATGGATTTATGTGGTGGGTACATACGCTGAGTACAATACATGCGCAGCATACACTGTAAACATTTAGCAGGTCATGCAAATACGTTGCCATTTATCATTGATCTCATATTATCAGTTTACCATTGTGCTCACGACAGAACAATAGTTCACAAATGCGATGTAGAACTGAAATGTTGAAAAAGTTCGGCTTCTAAAATAATTTCAGGGCTACATTGTTTCTCTTACAACCTTCACACTAACATTATCTGTTTTACTTCGTGTAACAAATGAGAGTCTAAATTAGAAATATCCAAACTTTGACAGAAATTTTTTCTTCTTAACATTCGATGTAAGTCAGCTACTTGCAAAATAATGTATAATTGTATCCCATGATTGTATAATTATGTATACATGCACAAACATTATAAAATGAAATATAATGTGCACAGTCCTTTGCTCCATCTGTTAACCAAAATTAAACCTCCTAACCAACCCATCGAAGTTTATAAAACTCTCGCTTCAATAATTTAATTTGATTTTAAACCGAACAAACCCTGAAATTACAAGAAATAATTGTCAAAGAGCGACAACTATGATATTCTAATCGGAATTTGCAAGTATTGTGCAAACTAGAATTCGTTAAGTGAATGGCAAATTTTAACGTCGTAAAATAATAAGTTACGCTAAGTTAAGTATACGTGCTAAGATAAAGACATTTGTGGTCTCAACTGCCGGGGTTTGTAAAAGAATGCGTGTGAGGTATTGTGAGGCATTGTGAGGTATTGTGAGGCATTGTGAGGTATTGTGAGGTATTGTGAGGTATTTTGAGGTATTGTAAGGTATTGTGAGGTATTCTGAGGTATTCTGAGATATTGTGAGGTATTGTGNTGAGGTTTGATGGTGTGTGAGGTGTGATGGTTTGTGAGGTGTGATGGTTTGTGAGGTGTGTTTATTTGTGCGGTTTGACGTTTGTAAGGAGTGATTGATTGTGAGGTGTGATGCTTTGCGAGGTGTGATGATTTTTGAGATGGTTTGAGGGGTAAATAAGCTTATTATTAAAGTTATGAGGAGCCATAAAGCTCAAAATAAAACAAAAGATTATAATTGCGTTAGAAAATAAACAAATATACAAAGTTATCGGAAATTGTCGCATTACACTGCGAATGTTGGCCGCTGTGAATGATTAAAATCTTCTCAGAATAAGCTTATTAACATGAGTTATTACAATATTATTGCAATATGTATTAAATAAATAATAACCGAAGGACTCGCAGCACACACAAATCTATTCGAAATTATTAAAAATATGTATGCTTGTCTCTTGACCAGAATTTCAATAAGATTAATTTCGTCATTTGAGGTGAAAAGTCTAACAAAACTGAAATTTCAGTTTCTATTAAGTATTCATATCATTAGTTTGCTTAGCTTGGAAATTAACCAAAAATTACAAAGGAAATCGAATGATAAGTTAGACATCATAATTTAATAGAAAACTAAGTTTTTATTTCCATAGGCCGTTGTTCGGCTGAGTGCTTCTGTATTCTTTGAGGTTAGAACGATGATGATTGCTATTGCGTGTCAAAATAATTCAGCCGAAAATTTAGTATGCAATAAGGACAGTTTGCCGACTACTTAATTACATAATTAGATGACTAATATGGCTACGAGACATATATAGAGGCGATGTAGAGGCAGGCTGATGAGGCACTTGAATAAACGATTGTTTCTACAATGTGAACGGCGGCGAACGTTGTGAACATATGTGGCAGCATTCATACAGCAACACGTTGAGCTACTATTCACACAACTCCACGTATGAATTGATACGTTGTGAAACTATTCACACAATACCACGTATCAATTGTCCTGTATTATATAGATTATTTATGTACCGTCCATAGCAACACTCATTCGTAACAGCGTATCACTCAATTCGTTGTGAATATCTCAGCGTATCACTTTACGCTGGGAACTGCTGTGGCGGTAAACCCGTTCTCATCCGCAATAAGAAACGAATGGACATCATACGATCTGTAAACGAATATACTGTTACACGATCTATGTACGATCTGTGTACAAATATAAGGATAATATTCGCTTAAGTGGACGTTTTATCCAGGACAATCCGGTATGGGACAAAAAAATCGTTGTGGTTGGACGTAAAAGATTCTCTGTCGGAGTTGAAGACGAAAATATTGTTGCTGTGTTTTGTACGAGTGCGTGAGAGTGTCAGATACGATGTGATGGAATGATGTATAGTGATGTTTTTGGTGACACATTTCGGTGATATGGAATTGTGAGTATGGTGAAGTACAGGAATGTTGTTGCCTGTTAGTTATGGTGACCATTATAAGTACACCATTACGCGTACAATGGCAACTCAAGCTTCCAAACACGATAAAATTTCTGCAACATCGACAGCGAATAATTGTAAAATTTACCATTTTCATTTGATCGATAAAAATAACGATAAATTGTTCAGTAGAAGTATTCTGCAGTTTTGTGGTGGCGGTCGATAAAATCAATCGCCCATTTAGGCTGCATAATTTATTTGAACATGAAATTTGTGGCCAAGCCACTGATAATGGAAGTAAGATCGACCGAAAACAGCAATTCTCGGTGGCAGGCGTAGTATTATCTAGACCAGCAATAGCTCTACATCTCAATTCTTGGTTATTGTTCCAAATATTCATATTTGGAAGAATAACCAGCGAAATTCATCTGAAATTAATGATACCCTCCCAGAACAAACGACTTCTTGAGAGTTTGCACGCGTCTGACTGGTGAATATCATGTTAAAAATATATAGATGTTGATACATTATATTTTATCTACGATAATAATGGTCCAATAATGGTTTAAGATATATTTTCCAATAAAAATCATAGAATACGTAAATATTTTATAAAGTTATTTAATAGTGGAAGAGGAGCATGGGTGGATATAAGGTTTTTTGAAAGTTAAAGTAAATTCGCAAGAAAGTTATCCTCATAATTCATTATTCAGGACAATTTTCCTCCTGCCGGTCATCCAGTCATCATTCATGATCGTTTAACTCATTAATATTACTCATCGAAGTCGTTTATACAAGCTCGCTTCAATCATTTCAATGTACGGACTTGTGCTGATCATTAATCTTTATTGTTTCCTACATAATTTTCTTCTCTTGTTAATCATATAACTCGGATTAATAGTTGATATGATTTGTATAATATTAGAGTGACCGCAGCACCGTGGACGACATAATATTAGAGTGGCCGCAGCACCGTGGACGACATAATATTAGAGTGGCCGCAGCACCGTGGACGACATAATATTAGAGTGGCCGCAGCTCCGTGGACGACATAATATTAGAGTGGCCGCAGCCCCGTGGATGAATTCATTATATTTGAAATTTTTCTGAAACATTACTGATGGATATCTCCAACAACACAAAATAGTTATTTAAATTTCTTACGAAAATGGCTATAAAATTTAAAATATAAAAAAGTCATAATTTTATGTGTAAAATAATAATGCTAAGATATATATGAGTAATGTTATGCGTAACAGATATAAAGGGAAATATATTTAATTTTGCTTCGTTGTCTATCAAATGGAGCATGTGGAGTCTTGTGGACTCATTGCAGGTTTTCTTTTATCTTAACTTACGGAGTAAAATTCGCACGAATCACATTTTCTTGTCTGGGTTGAGTTGTCAGTTTAGCTTTGCCGTAGTCTATGCAATAGTCTATGTCATAGTCTATGTCATAGTCTATGTCATAGTCTATGTCATAGTCTATGTCATAGTCTATGACATAGTCTATGTCATAGTCTATGTCATAGTTTATGCCATAGTCTATGCCATAGTCTATGCCATAGTCTATGCCATAGTCTACGTCGTAGTCGCAATTCCAATCCATGTCACCTAGGTATGCTCATAATACCTGAAGGCTGATGGGACCCAAAGCCGTCTTTTCATCACAATTAAATTTAATTTAAATTTCGTTTCAGAAATGTTCTTTGAAGCCGCGACTTGCATTAGCGCGAGTGAGTCAAGCGAGGAAATACTGAAGAGATAATGTACGGGACTTCCTGTGACCTTATCAACGACAGTCGTAGATTCATCCCAATAGAATATATTATATCTTCCAGTGTATAGTGAATTAATAATGTGATGATGTGCAGTTGTGATAAACGATAATAGAGAGAACTAAAAGCCCTGGAAGGACGAAGATATTGGCATAAATTATGAGCCAACAGCGAAAGTGCGACGTGAAATTTGCGCGAGGAAGAACTGGTTTCGCAGATTTGGTGCGTCGGGTCTATCGAAGACAGTAAACCTGAATAAATAATAGCGATTTCTTACATTAAATTTAAAATGACGGAAAAATATAAAAATTTCATGATAAAATAAACATGTACCAAAAGTAGATCAGTATCAAATTCAAATTTTCATATTTCGCTAATTTTAAACTACGAAACTGAGCATTATTTGAAGATTAACAATATTGGATTGTCTTTCATCAAGTGGCAATAAGCATCTGGAATATTTCTTTGTAGACCTAAAAATGTCGCTAAAGATGTGACTGAAATGTCTTCTGTTGAGAATCCGGCGTTGGCTAGCGATAGCTACACCGTGGATATATTAAAAGTACCAAACAATTCGTTACAATCCGGCCCAGCCTTTTTAACAAAAGACAGGATAAATTCTTCGAATCTCGATGCCTCCGAAGATTTACCCTTTCGATTTGAGTCATCCCTGCTCGACTTTGGCTCATCCAACAGCTCTGTATTCTCATCCAACATTTCTTCATTGTTCAACTTCACTGATGAACTCCTGCCGAAGAAGCTGTCAGATTTCACGGAGGAGATCTGGCTGCACGCAAGTTGGTGGGGCTTGGCGGCCATATTGATTCTGTTATTAACGGCACTGGGCAACGTGTTCGTTATAATGGCTATTTCCTGGGAACGACGACTGCAAAATATGACCAACTATTTCCTCATGTCCTTGGCCGTCACCGACCTCATGGTCGCCGTCCTCGTCATGCCTTTTGCCATCGTCGAGCTCACCATCGGTGAGTGACGTGTTCTTAATTTAAATGATAGCGGTGAGTGACGTGTTCTTAATTTTAATGATAGCGGTGAGTGACGTGTTCTTAATTTAAATGATAGCGGTGAGTGACGTGTTCTTAATTTTAATGATAGCGGTGAGTGACGTGTTCTTAATTTTAATAATATCGGGGAGAGTGACGTGTTAACATGATATTATGGGCATCTGAGGGTTTTAAGAAATATATTATTGTTATTTCATGGTCATCGACGAGTGAGGCACAAGAAATATCACTGAACTTATTACATATAATGTTTGTATCCTCCTCGTTTATCGCATTAGGAAGTCCAGCGCGGGATTTACTTGCACAATTTTTTAATTTAGATAATTGGAAGTTTTTACTAGAATTAAAATTTTACCGTTTTCATTTTTTTAATTGATTTTTTCAGGTTGAAATTATTTAACTTCATTAGCTGTGAACTTCAAAAATAAATTAAAATCTAAGCCATTTGAACAATAATGGTGTTCATTTTCTCTGTTCTTCGTTTTGAATTACGGAGGCGAATATTTTACTGTTTCTTACATATTTTCAGCTATCCATGGTTCAAATTTCTATACATTGAGCGTGTATGCTAATGTTAGAGATGATCTTTCTCGGTTCCTATTATTGGCATCTTTTGTGCGTGTGAAGTATAATGTAATTTGCTCTAATTCATTTATTTGCTTGCGTATTAGTGTACACAAAAGTTATTAAACAAATCTATAGATACATACAATTTTTCTATTGATCCAATTTTTTCAATTTCGGGCATCACTTCTCACATGCATGAAAACCGCTTCTGCTTCATGCCCACTGAAATTGAATTAGGACAAAATCATTGCAGATGGCAAGTGTTGAAACACAATCGTTGCAGATGGCAAGCGTTAGGACAAAATGGTTGCAGATGGTAAGCGTTAGGACAAAATAGCTGCAGATGGCAAGCGTTGGGACAAAATAGCTGCAGATGGCAAGCTTTAGGATAAAATCGTTGCAGATGGCAAGCGTTNGGCAAGCGTTATGACAAAAGAGTTGCAGATGGCAAGCGTTAGGACAAAAGCGTTGCAGATGGCAAGCGTTAGGACAAAAGCGCTGCAGATGGCAAGCGTTAGGACGAAAGCGTTGCAGATGGCAAGCGTTATCGCTGGCAGAAGCCATAACGCCTCAGCTATTCACCGAGGGCAGGCTTAGCTCTCGCAAACAAAAGACGCGAGGCTTCCGCGTGCGATTGTAGAGGCCGATCAATGACGCTATGACCGTTTAAGTTTAAATTGAAGTCATCAGCGACTTTCCGTGACTGCTCAGGACGACGGAATTTCCGTGATCTTACAGTCATCGCTTAGTGAGTTAAATTTAATGCTGCAGGAAGTTAAGCAAGTTAAAAATTTATGGATTATTTTATTATCTGAATCCAATAGCTGTCAATTGGGTCAAGGATATATATGGTGAAATAAATTCATTAGAGCATTAAATATTTAATTAGGATTTAGTAGTAGGGCACTACTAAATCAGCCAATCAGTATTTCTAAATCGTTATTAATTGATCGAGTACGACTCAAAACATACATTCAGCTCCCAGGTTCTCTAGCTTCAAATAAATCTATACAAATTTCTTTGACATTTTCACCAATTTCCATCATCATGCAAATTAACCTAAGAAATGCAGGCCTACTGAATTTTTTTATGATGAAGTGCCTATGATTGCCCATGAATATTAATTTTTTTCAATATTTAATACATAATGTGCAGCTGAAGATATTTTTATAATATGGCCGAAGTTAAAGTAGGTGTGCAAAATAATAACAGATAATAAGAACTAAGATGGTTATGGTATCTGAACGCTATCAGCTAGCTCTATCCTACATAGTCTTCATTTTTCATGACGTAAATTCATAATGCCCAATTTCCACGGAATTTACTCGTCAAATTCAAGCAATGAAATAGCAACCATTCCCCTATACTTATGCGTACAAAAATCGATGAATGAAATACACGAACACCGAAGTGGTATAAAAAAATTATATTTCAAACTGAGGATGCCAACCGCGTCTCCAATTGATTCATGATTTACGAAAATATCGTTAAAAAGAAATTAGTCTTGCACGCACATTTCAGAAACTTCATATGGCGGCTCAAGAAAATTTCGCATGTCCCCACAACACAACATCATGTGATCGCGTGACGGCAACTTACCCTCGGGTAGAGTTTACTTATCGCCATCTAGCGGACAAACACGCAACACGCAATACCTCGGCGTGTTCCGTGACCGCGTCAAGAGATTTTCTTTATTATTCTTCAACTTAGAATAATTGAAATAACGCATTCGTACCTCCCTACAGATCATCTAAATTATATTAATGTAATTTATGGTGCGTTCTACCGGCGAATTTTATACATTGTGGAATATGACACATTTAGAAACGTTGGCATAAGTGAGAGCTCTGCTATCATTGATACGCTTCTCATGCACGATATTTGGACTTTGACTGTCTTGTGCTTGGTTACGAAATTCATTACATATTCTTCTTCGGGATTTCATTCCTGATAAAATAAAACTTTGAAATCACGATCAAATAATATTTTTACATGAAAATAGTACGTGTTTGTTTCGTTTTGACTGATTTTCAAAGACTTGAAGGAAACCATCATGGCGGAACGTCAATTTTCACACTCTTTCATTAGCCAATCACCGACAGCAGCCAATTACCTGCATTGATTCGCTTCTATCGACTTGAAGGTGTTAATGTTTTATACGAATCTCGCCGCTGTGAATAGCTGTCGCTTCTAGTATTTTGATCTGGAAATGCAACATTTGCATTTTTTAAAAATAATTAAGCCGTTACTGAGATTGAGCGCTCATTGAGTGACATCCAATTCCTAATTGATATTGATGTGGTTATTTGGGTATGCCCTCAATTCAAGCATTAATTTTGTATGATCAATTACTAAGAGTGACTTACCCTCAATCGTGTTCATTTCAATGCCGTTTTACATTAATTTTCTCAACCAAGAGTGGAAAATATATAATCAAGTAAAATTCAACTGCTATGTACATTTCTGAACAGCTTACCGCCTGTCACCCAAAATAACACCCAAAGAAATTTTATCTGACGTCGCCAGAATAAAGGTATTAATTTGCATTCAAACTCTCGCTGCTTTCCTAAATAATCCCACATAAACGATGCACAATTTGGCCTTGAATAAAATAACGCATTTCTAATGCAGTAACAAACCACAAGCTTTCCGATCTCCAAATGATTTTTTTTTTGTCAGCGATGAAGCGCCAAATTTTGCCTCTCAAATAAAGTCAGGCGCCAAATGGCGACTTACTTGAACATTCCGGAGTTTTGTGTCTGAGAAATGAAAAATACTAACTAAAAAAATATAACTCAGTACTCACTGCAGCTAGTGAGTGATAGAGAGCGCATTTTCTCGTCGACGAAAACTTGAGGTCATGGACGGACGGACCGACGGACGGGCAGACAGACAGACTGACAGACAGACGGACATGGCGAGCACAATAGTGCATTTTTTCCATAAATGAGAAAATGCGCTAAAAAAGAATGTTGTCCAAATTTAGAAGATGCGGAAAGTTTTCCTTCTTGGCAGTCTATACAACGGTCTATTACAGTATAGAAATATTAAATATGTTTTATATTATATATACATACTGTATGTTGAAGGACAAGTCTGGCCTGTTTCCGATTCTTGCAAATGTTTGGACTTGCTTACAGAAAATCTCTCAAAACTGATCTTATGGATCAAATCTATTGAAATCTTTTTTGAGTCTCAGTTGAACTTTCCTTGATTTCCCTAAACAAACGATTCCTTCCGTTAATTGCATCGCTTTTATGCAGCTCGGGAAAAGAATCTAATTTGGAAATTACCGAAGATTTATTGCACTAATTATTTAATTATGTAGGGAACACTGTTCTTTTTCATAGGCATGTACCATGTAATACCGACTCAATTGAGAATTTACAACTTAAATCGGTTAGCATTTACGCACATTTTTCTTCCGATCATAATCTTGCCTTGTGCCATTCAAAACTTATTTATTGAGCAAATTTTTAGCTGCAAATTGTATCAGCGCGAGCAACGCTTAATTACACAAAAAACGTTTAATCTAAACGCCATAAGCGATCATCGAGCAAGCCTGAGCTAGAAATACTCTAGCATACAAAATAAACGGACACCATATATTTCACTTTCATCTATAAGAATACTTTACAAGGGAAGAATATCAACAACTTGAATAATATACGATTTATACGATAATTCATACTCACTTTGGTGTTTCAAAACAAAATTTTTGCCTATATATATATAAACAAATGTAAAGTATTTATAATTTTGCGACAATTTCGTCTCACGCCTGCGTCGATTATGTTCTTTATGCCGCGAACAAATAGTGAAATTATTGTGAAAAAAATTTTTTAAGAAGTAAAAATATTAATTGTTATGCACCACGTTTTGCTTCCACGATAATCCAGGCCGGTTCCCGTTCTCTTCGGAATTGTGCCTCACGTGGATATGCTTGGACGTGCTCTTCTGCACAGCCTCCATCATGCACCTCTGCACCATCTCCGTGGACCGGTTCCTCTCCCTGAGGTGAGTGCACCTCTGCACCATCTCCGTGGACCGGTTCCTCTCCCTGAGGTGAGTGCACCTCTGCACCATCTCCGTGGACCGGTTCCTCTCCCTGAGGTGAGTGCACCTCTGCACCATCTCCGTGGACCGGTTCCTCTCCCTGAGGTGAGTGCACCTCTGCACCATATGACTCATGAGCTCCATATTAGGTCATTAAAAAGCTTTTGAAAAATACTAATTACTAACAACCATCATTTTTTTATATATTTTGAAAACTATTGCACAATATGGTAGTGAGTAGGATGTTAAAGAATAATGACACACTTAAGGACCTTTAAAAAATCATCCATATACTGTACATGCTTTTAAGGTGAAAAAGTAAACAAATTTTGCAGTGAGATTCTTCGTGCCCAGCATCAAAATAAATCCTACTCAGGATAACAATCGTGCTATCCTCAGTGACAGTCAACATCGATATCGTATCCTAAATTCTGGGAAATCCTTCAGAGATCAGCAAGAAAAATATTGCACAGATCCAAGCAGATTTTTTGCTGGATAAATTCTGTGTCAGCAACACGGCGGAGTTTCGATTCAGATTTAAACCTCAGTAAACATCGATTTCATTGGGAATTATTTCTTGCTGACGTTTGTACACACACTATTATTATTATGTTCATCATCGTTATCACTATTATTATTATTAATATTATTATTATTACTGTTATTATTATTGTATTTATTATCATTATCATTATTATTATTATTGCTACTACTATTATTGTTATAATCAGGGCGGATATATCTGTATTTCACGGCGCAAGTTTCGACATTTCTAAGGAAATTCGATGTTGCCGGAAGTTCTGCAGGCAGGACTAAAATATATGTGACATCCTTCCGAGCGTCTTGCAACGAATGCTTATAAAAAATGCAAAGGTTTTCGACAAATAAGTGGGATACATAGCGATGCTTTTAACTTTAAATTGGTAGGAAAAAACATTAGGAGCTTTTCGCTGGACATTTACCGCTTGTAATATATTAGATATACTCGTATATATACAAAAACAGATATACAAAGGACGTTTAAACACAAAGTCGAGCCGAATAATAAACATTCCGTAAATCAGTAAATCACGCATCTATTTTTTGGCAATATCGCTATAATCGTACTTAATAAAAATCACAGCAAACTTCGTGGTCTAGTTAATTATCTGTTCCGAAATAATCTTCGTAGAAGCCATACTAAAGAAACTTTATTACCCTGCAGATACCCAATGAAGTTTGGCCGCAACAAGACGTGTCGCCGAGTTCTTCTAAAACTCGTGCTGGTTTGGTGCTGTAGTTTGGCTTGTTCTCTCCCTCTCTCTCTGATGTACGCCACCGACTCCAAGACCACAATCGCGCACGGAACCTGTCAAATACCAGCGTCGCTGTTCCAAATAATAGGTTCCGTAATTTGCTTCTACATTCCCCTAACCATCATGATTGCCACGTATGCTCTGACGGTGCGCTTGCTGTCCTTCCAGAAGACAGAGCTCCTCAAGAGGAAAGGCGTCAAGGCAAGTAGGTTCGGCTCACAAAAGTCCGTTAAAAGAAAAAAATTCTCGTGTCGAGCTTCATGCATAGCAAGTGGAAGTGTCCGAGCCTCCACGGGTAGTTCTTTGAGTGATCTACACACCGATGACATGAGACAGAGGGAGATGTCAGAAGTTCTCGAAGAAACTGATGACATTCTCGTGGATGGGAAATCCCAGTTTGACAGAAGCAGTGTACAGCACTCGTTTGTCAGTAACCAATCTCCTGCTGGCATCAGGAAGGCACAAATAAAAACCAGGAATGTTTCGACCTCAAGTCGGTCTGATGACGATGTGCCGAGCGTTGAATTGACAGTTCTGCCTTCAAGTCACAGCGAAAAACTCCAGCCTGTGAAGTACACACACGTTAAAAAATTATGTGCACAAGACTCTCCAAAAATAGTGATCAGTTCTTCCAGTGGTCAAATCGATGCAATGCAATCCCCTGAATGTGAACGTCTTATAAAAACTGAGATGAATGCTATGCATATTTCCGAAAATTCTGAAATCCAAGAACCCGTTTTCTTGATGCACGAGGAAACATCCCCGACTACGAGCTGTTCAGTCAGCCCCAAACACTCCCCGAAGACCAGCATCAAATACAGGGAAGATTCTGAGAAAATTTGTGACCCAAGTGAAGTGACAGAAAGTTTTATGGGGAGGAGGAAGAGTCAAGAACGTAACGGGAACGCCGATAATCAATGCGACTCGTCGACCTTCAACGGCACCTCAGTTGCGGTGCCCTGCTCATGCGCTCCGAGGTCAGGGTAAAATGGCCACATTTTGCACTATATTTAAGTTCAATTTTATTTAATATTACAATCTACTATACATAGTATAATTTTAAATCATTAAATGAAGTAGATTGTGAATGAAATTTGAACTTCGCTATTAATGCGAAAATTTTTATTCTGTTTTAAAAAGAAATCGTTAGAAGTTACTTTTCATCTGAGAAACTATAACCGAAAGATTTTTGGAAAAAATATTCAAATAGTTATATACTTCATTATAACAGTTGATAATTGAATAAATATTTATTCATATTATATTTGTATAATACATAACTCATTCTAGCCTTGGCCGCTAGTGTGTGAAAGATTATAAAGTCGTCACTTATCATATTCCCCCAAAGGTATATCAAGTAATAAATTCTCATATCTAGAAAAAATAACTATTTTCTGTTTAGGTTTTTCTTGGAAGGGTTCGAGCGCGTGAGCGGCTCGACCGAGGGTCGCGATAACGAGGGTAGCGCTGCCTGCGCTCGTCCCTCACTGAGGGCATCTCCGAGCGAAGACAGCACCACCACCTGGAGCCGTTGTTCCCCTTGCTGTGGTGCCGGCAGTGACGAATGTAAGTATATTGCTTTTATTTATTATGAAATTATGAATAGGTTATGAGAAAACTATGATTAGCTTATGAGAAAATTATGACTAGGTTAGGGAGAAAACTATGACTAGGTTATGAGGAAGTTATGACTAGGTTATGAGGAAGTTATGACTAGGTTATTATGAAATTATGAATAAGTTACGATAAAATTATGATTATGTTATGAGAAAATTATGACTAGGTTATGAGAAAATTATGACCAGGCTATGAGAAAATTATGACTATGTTATGAGAAAATTATGACTAGGTTATGAGAAAATTATAACTAGGTTATGAGAATATTATGACAAGGTTATGAGAAAATTATGACTAGGTTATGAGAAAATTATGACTTGGTTACGAGAAAATTATGACCAGGTTATGAGAAAATTATGACTAGTTTATGAGAAAATTATGACTAGGTTTTGGGAATATTATGACCAGGCTATGAGAAAATTAAGACTAGTTAATAAGGATATTTATATAAGTATTTATTATACATTAGAGAATACATGACTATTTATTGTACAAATCACGCAACCTTTAATCGTATCATTATTTGGTAGCATTCGTTGGTGGGATTGTGCATGTTTGTAGCCTGGCGCAGAAACGTGTCCTGATATTTATTTCTGTACCTGAAAAAGTATTTATAGTAAGAGAATAGCAAGACATTGCAAAAATTAAAGGAAAAGAGTGGACCCAACATCAATATGTTGGGACCCAACATCAATAAGAGTGGACCCAACATCAACAGTTTGTATTGGTCAAGTGAGATAAATTTGTACTTTATATACGTATTCTTCCAATCCTTCCTATACTTTCCTTCAATCTTTTCCTCCAATTAAATTTTCAGGTCAAGGTAATATTCCGATTCTCAATTTAATGTCTTAATTGTCTTAATTTTATGCTGCCAATTTGATAATTTATAGCATACATTGGGTTACTACGATAAATGAAGTGAATGTATTGTCTGTTCAGGGACATTCTGGGGTCTGTTCAGGGTATTGTCTGTTCTACCACATTCACTATGAAATTTTAGAGAGAAATGCAACGAAAACTATTTGCCTGAATATTTTATTGCCGTATTGTAATATGAAATTAAAGCAAATGCTGAATTATATTGGGCAATACACTCCGATTTCCAGGGTCTTCATCAAATTATAAAAATTCATGTCAAAACTTGGCTTAACCGAGACTGGAAAAAACCTTCTACTTCAATATACTTATTCTTGCTCGGACTAGTTATCTTCTAGCATACATACAACCATAATTATAATATTATTCCATATATATTTGCATCCCATGACGTGTTTTTTTCATCAAATGCTCAATTTCTACAAACGTTTGCCAGAAGTTTTCCCTGAAGGCTCCCAAATGAGTTGACTTCGGCTGTTATTTCAGAGCTTGAATATTATTCCGTGAGGAACTCGCCTTCATTTGAATATGAATAATTAAGTGAGCTTCTTCTTCTCATAAAAGGAGAATTCTGCAGACATTTTACGCTCATCCAATAAGCAATGGAAAGCATGATGCTAATTTTCAAGTGGCGCGAAAAAATGAAACTACGTTTCAATGTTTTCTTCATGTTCTCCCTTATTTGCCATCGCAGCTAAAATTCATTGCATATACTGTATGTCCATCCTTCCCTCACTGTCTGTTTTCTTGTCATTACAGCAGCAATACGTTCTACATACGACTTGATAGAAGCACTTTATTCAAAGCGTGCTTTCTTATTCCTAAACTTTCACCTCACCCAGTAACTATCAAAGCCTAGTTTCAGGCGTCTGTAAATGATCAGACTTTAGCTCTGAGCATCCAAGCGAGCCTCATTACTATGCCGTGGCGCAAATTATGCCTTGTCTGAGGCACTCTGTACTAACAATAAGCTACATTTGCTACCGCCTTTGCAGTACATTGTCGTTTTTAGTTCTGTTTCTGGTCGAAAAAAGGCAATGCAAATCAATTTATAAGAAGCAACTCAATTTTTGTCAGTGTAACAGGCAGCTCTATCTCTTGTCCATGTAACAGGCAGCTCTGTTGCATGTCAATATAACAGACAGCTCTGTTTCTCTTCCATGTCACAGGCAGCTCTGTGTCCCTTCCATGTCACAGGCAGCTCTGTTCAGCTCTGTTTCTTTTCCATGTCACAGGCAGCTCTGTTTCTTTTCCATGTCACATGCAGTCCTGTTTCTCTTCCATGTCACAGGCAGCTATATTTTTCTCATTAATGTTTCATGTCAATCTGTATTTTTTGTAATACAACAGGCAGTGCAGACCTGGGCAGTCTCGAGTCGCCGTGGCAAGAGGAAAGTGTACGTCGCACGGCCACGGCTGAGATGGTGGCTAAGCTCGTGCAGAGGTGAGTGAAACGTTTCTGTTTTCATTCATTTATTTTTATTACATACATTTTGATTAAAGTTCATTCTTTACGTGTTCCGTTTTATATTCATTGGTTTTCCATTGCAAAAACATTTTATTCGTAGACTCGTTTATGCAGGTATTCGTATAAATCTTTATTTTATTTAATTTTTCCTTAACTTGATTATTCATCAGGTGATCGTCACTCTCATGAGAGACGATATGAGTGACGTCACATAGTTTTAGGAACGTTTTTTCCTTTGGAAAAGACACATTAAAAAAATGTTTAGACGCTCCAGCTTGACCATTTTTAAAACCTCCTCTGACACAACAACCCATTATTCATCGGCTCTACCTCGGGTGAGGGAGGATGCTCGCTAGTTTGCAGGATCTGTTGGTGGACCTGGTAAAAGGATATTCTCTCTCCAATGGGGACCTTGGATGTATATTTCATGGGGATGACACTTCATATGAGGTCATATTTCTGCCTTCCTAAACCATATGTCCTGTGAAGTTGTTTTTTTCTTTTCAACGCGCATTTGATGCCAGTTTCAATATGAAAAAATACATTTAAAATTCTGCATAATTTTTCCACCATGTGTATTACGTCAAATTTTTATGTCGGACAAATTGAACTCTTTCAGTTTTAAATGGAGTTTTAACAAGTTTTAATGATGCATGAATACAACTATTGAGCTATCGTTACGTTCGATGAAAGTGGTCGTGTGGATGAACATGTACAATAGCACACTTCAGCCTAATTAGCAAAACTATTAGGCAAATTTTAAATCCTACCACAGCTATTAATTAGGACAGAAATATTTCGCACAATTTACTAAGATTGAAATGAGGAAAGAAAAACAGGAATCAATCTTACCAGCCGTATTCGTGCACACAGCCCGCATGAGGCTCGTGAATGAACTACAAAGGTCATGGGGTTCACTTCACACACAGAAATGAGGCAAACATTGTCCGAATAGCAATGCTCTTTTCGGTCTTGTGTGAGTCATTCTGACCCATTATAGCTCGAAAAAATATAACTCAGTACTCACGGCAGTGAGTAACAGTCCTCACGCTAAACATTTGTTTAGCGTGAGGATAATATTAATGTTGAGAGCACTTTAGGCTTTTTAGGCACACTCTAAGTTTTTAGGCTTATATTCGTAGTCACGGTTAGAATAGTGCTGCTAAAGATTGATTCCCGCTTCCTAGCTGTGGCGAAGATCAGACAAAACTTGAGGTCACGGACAGACGGACAGACAGACGGACGGACGGACATGGCGAACACAATAGTGCATTTTTCGATAAATGAGAAAATGCGCTAAAAAGGAGTGTCAGTGCACCATACGAAAATTTTGTTACCATTTGGACGATTTTACTCAATAATTTTGTTGTGGAATGCAGATATCGGTAAAAGTTCGACATCGGTAAAAGTTCTCCCAACCTTGGACTGCTGAAACTTTACATACATATTAAAGTTTATGCAAAACTAGGGAACTGATTGTGACGTATACTGCAGAGAATGTTTTAGTTCCATTTGTTTACATGAAATTTATGTACCAAACAAATTTTGGCGTTAACTAAGAGCCATAGTTTAAATATTTCTTATATTTAATTAATTAAACTAATAAAAAATTAACCAAGCTTCTCATTGCAAGCAGAATTTTTTATCATCTTAAATATCATCAGTTTGTTCAGAGAGGAACGAAATGAACATTAGGATAGTATTTTATTAATATTACTATACTTTTAACATGCAAGTTCAGAAAACTGATGAAAATTGCTCTCAATTGATGTAGAGCTCACGTACACATACATTGTATAGTGCGCAGCAAGACAACGCTATGAAGCGTGCAATTCAAGGGCACATGTGTACTATACACATTAAAATGAACATTTGGCTGCACATCTGCTCATAATTTAGTATACTAGCAGTTTGTCTGGCGTTGCGCGGTCCTGCTATTCATACAAATTGGGAATCTTGTTATTCCGAATAATATCATTCGAGGAATCACCAATTTTAATAATAATAACATATCATTTTTATTATAAAGATTTTTATTTTACTCCTATCATAATTTCTGGTCCAATTTCTTCCTCCCTTTCCTTTCTTCCTCCTTTTCTTGTCCAATTTTTTCCTCCCTTTCCTTTTTTTCTCTCTTTCTGGTCTAATTTTTTCTTCCCTCCCCACGATATATGTAACCTATTACGTGCCCCAACAGATCCTTAAGCATTCGTGACGCCAAGCTTCAAATACACAATTGTTTAATAAAATATTAAATATATAAAAGATTATAGTGAAGTACGGCAGCATATTAACATATTTCCTGCTTAGAGTGTTCACCGATGGTGTTCATGGAGACGAGTTTGGTTTGTCGGTCCAACAGATGTTGTTAAATGGGTCGGTACAGGTGTTGGGCAGAACACTTGCTGTGGTCTGTGTGATAAACATTCTACATTAACCCTTTGAGGGCAACATTTGTTTAGCGTGAACATAAGATTTAATTTTGAGAGCACTCTAGGATTTTTAGGCACACTCTGAGTTTTTAGGCTCATATTCGTAGTCACGGTTAGAATAGTGCTGCTAAAGATTGGTTCCCGCTTCCTAGCTGTGGCGAAGATCAGACAAATCAAAGTTGAAGAGTTTGATGTTATGTAATTTAATTTTTCTAATTAATTTTTATCAAAATATGTTCAAAATAATTGAGAGATGAAACCAGTGGAGGAAATAAATGAATCAATTGCAAATTGGTAATTGTCTCGCTGCGATTTTCAAAACGAAGATATAAAAAAAATAAAAATTAATAAATGCATTTCTGTGTTCTATTCAGGATCTTGCATATGAAAGTCATATAAATTTTTTATCGTCAATCAGTAATAATAATTAACGACAGATACTCGAACTGTACTATCGGCAATTTTAGTATCGCTTTACTCTCTACGCTTTATGATCGAACAACGGAAAAGCGCTTTGTGAAAAAAAAAACACTCTGAAAAACACTCAAGTCTTCAGCGCGACGTTTACTTTTTTATTTAATGCTAGAAAAATTGTCACAATTTATTACTGACAAATTTAACCACAGAATTTTATCCTTGAAAGCTAATGCATGATCGATGCTCTCTAGTAAATGTCATTTATTAAATTACACATGGCGGCTTATGTACACGTGGTGGCAGATTTCTCGTCTGTGATTGGTGGATTTTGCTGGACATGTTGTCAAAGATTGGCTGACACGTTCAATCAGACGGAAAAAAATTTTCCTAATCTTTGCCTCGCCAATACGTGCGAGTTCAGCCATGTTTGCTGAACGTTCTTATCAAGGCACTCCAATGCTGGACACTTACCCCGTTAATGCCCAATTCACTTATATTCTGTCAAAGATTCTATATTTTTGGTCGGAAACTTGTTCAATGCTCGTGGTCGGGTAATTCATCATGAACGTTCACGTTACGATAACTAGTTTTATATTAAACAAGATTTATAGAAGATTAAATTTTATAAGATTAGCCCAAAGTGGAGTGAAACGAATTGCTTATTGTAGATAGTTTTTAGCAATAGAATGTTTTAGAAATAGAGATTTTAATGCTTATACTCAACAGTAGAAACCTGGAAAATTTGAATCCTAATTAAGGCTCATGCGAAACTAATATTTTATAATAATATATCCCTAAGATAAAATGTTTAACTTAGGTTCTAAAAAGTTCTGTTCAAGTATGTTACATAATTCACTTAAATTGGTGTCAAGATTTTTTTTTCCTTCTTTTGCTTCATATATTTACTTCTTGCCATTTAAGCATGATCCTCGAGCCGGAAAAAATTCGTTTCATAAATGATCATCCAAAGTTTGCATTATCATCAACAAATGAAGCTCCTAGCCACACAGAATCATCACTAATTGATGCACCTCATTTGCCTAATCATCACTAAACGATTCTCTAATGTGTGTAAAATAGTCATTAAATGGTGCAGATGGTATGCCTAATCATCACTAAATGATTCTCAAACGTGTGCAAAATTTTCATTAAAGTATGGTAATAAGTATGCATGACTTCATTGATAGTAAATCGACCCGGTACATGAGTGCTAGCAAAGGTACTAACCTCATCGTCATTCTCACCTCGCAATCGCAGATCCGGGCTCCCGGTAACAAGAGTCATACGCAAGTTCGGCACAAACTACAGCTCCGACTCTGGCAGTACATCTGCAACAAACACTAACACAAACAACACTCCTGTACACCATACTCTTCTCACGACCACCACACCACATCACCACCACCGACAACCATGTGTGGTGATGGAAGGCCGCAATGGAGGCAATGGATGTAATCCACCAGCTGATTCCATCGCCCGAGGAGTTCTCCCAACGCCAACCAAACTCTGGAGGTGCAAGTCTACAACGCCCTTGAAGATGGCGTCGTCCAAACGTCATGGGAGGAACATTAAGATGGAACAAAAAGCCACCAAGGTTTGATCCTGTGAAATACTGGCATCATAAACTGCTATAAGTGAACGCTTATCTTTAATTATCACAAGTGAACCAAAAATGTAAAGAGAATAATTAATCAGTTTCAGTTTTGGAGCGACAAATTTTCAATGACGATTTGATAAATTTAAAAACCCTTCTCGCGATTCAAATCTTGGTTAAGCTGAATTAAAAATTCGTAAATCTGCCACTCCAGACGGTACAGTCATGGAAGCTGAAATTAATATAGCGAAAGACAACTAAGTTTAGCTGTTTTCTATTATGTGAGAGAAGGTCCCTATTAACACATTTTATTATCAATTATTAAAAGTTGTGTTTCTCAAATAATTTAGCAAGTGTTTGTGCTGTTGCAGGTTCTAGGTGTGGTGTTCTTCACGTTTGTGGTGCTATGGTCACCATTCTTCATCATGAACGTCTTAACCGTCATCTGTCCAGCCTGTGCCAACTACATCCCGGGTGATGTCATGAGCTTTGTAACCTGGCTGGGCTACATCAGTTCTACAGTCAATCCTTTCTTCTACACGTTCTTCAACAAGACTTTCCGTGAAACTTTCTGGAAGATTGCTACGTGCAAGATGAAGCCTTTCAGAAAGTATCATAGGTATCACAGATAATGGGATATGCTGGTATTTAGAGTACCGATGATGAGTAACTAAAGTGAATGGATTCTTACATCATGGCTACTCGATTTGAATTTTTTGATATAATTTTTAACTCGATTTTTTGTTATAGATAATTTTTTGTCTATACTAATAACAATAACAATAACAGGCCCCAGAGACCAAACACACAGACTATCTTCTGGGTAATCATTTGAGCCGATTACTGAGAAACAAAAACCTGAAACATAATCTCAGATTTGCGCTATAATTTGTTGTGCCTAAATATATAGCGAGTTTTGTCCGAATAAATCATAAGAACAGGGTATTCAACTTCCAGAGTAATTTTGTACGCATGATTGATGCAATTACTCATATCATTAGTTTAATTAAATTTTATGCTAATCATGCATGAATTGAAAAGCAAAAAAATGCCTTGTAAGTTCAGCATGTCTTCATCGAAACCATTTTTAGTGAAGATACTGTTGAAATCCTTGATTGCCGCTAATTGTATAGGTAGCTAGTTAATAAAAATTGGCATTTTATTTCAGGCATCAATGTTCAAGGCATTTATTTCAGGTTCCCAAGCTCAGGAAATTTTCAGGTTCCGAGGTTCAGGGCATTTTATTTCAGGTTCCGAGGTTCAAGGCATTTTATTTCAGGTTCCGAGGTTCAAGGCATTTTATTTCATGTTCCGAGGTTCAGGACATTTATTTCAGGTTCCGAGGTTCAAGGCATTTTATTTCAGGTTCCGAGGTCCAGAACATTTTATTCCAGGTTCCGAGGTTCAGGACATTTAGTTCAGGTTCCGAGGTTCAAGGCATTTTATTTCAGGTTCCGAGGTTCAGGGCATTTTATTTCAGGTTCCGAGGTTCAAGGCATTTTATTTCAGGTTCCGAGGTTCAATGCATTTTATTTCAGGTTCCGAGGTTCAAGGCACTTTATTTCAGGTTCCGAGGTTCTGAGCATTTATTTCAGGTTCCGAGGTCCAGAGCATTTTATTTCAGGTTCCGGGGTTCAGGACATTTATTTCAGGTTTCGAGATCCAGAGCATTTTATTTCATGTTCCAATGTTCGGGGTATTTTATTTCCTGTTCCGAGGTTCAGGGCATTACTTTCAGGTTTCCATGTTCAGAGCATTTTATTTCATGTTCCAAGGTTCAGGGCATTTTTTCAGGTTCCAAGGTTCAGAGTATTTTATTTCAGGTTCCGAGGTTTAGGGCAATTTATTTCAGGTTCCGAGGATCAAGGTACTTATTTCAGGTTACGGGGTTCCACTAAAAAATTGTCCACTAAAAATTTATTCATAAATATTGATATTAGGAATGCGACTTCGAAATTAGAAGCAAGGTGAAATCGCTGTCAATTACATGTCACGTCTATTGTGGTAGTAAATGAAATATTCGCATCAATGTCCGTAGAGTAACTTATTTTCCCTGAATTTCAAAACCATTTATGCCACATGATCCCAGCTGTCGGAAGATTCTTTGAATTTTATAGTGGCCGGATAAGATGCTATTAAATATTTTTAAATAAAAAATAAAAACATTTATGAATCACCTTATGCAACGCGGATAAAATTCGATAAGCCTCGTATTGATTAAGATTATATTCCATTGAATTGAATTAACATTTCTCCAGTGCCAAATTGTGAATAAAAAGCAAAATTTCCCTGTGAGAAATATTTTTTCGCACGATTTTCTCCGTTTGTATTTATCAAGAGGTAAAGCATTAACTCAACTGTAAAGTAATAACATTGTAAAGCATTAACTGTAAAGCATTAACTGTAAAGCATTAACTGAACTATTTTTATGAGACACAATTTCTCTAGTGCGATAATACTTCTAAGCAACTAATGACGATTCACCCTGATTTAAATTACACCGAGAAATTAATTCCAGCTACATTACTACTTTCTATTCAAGAATTTAGTCAATTAATGCAAGTATTATTTGTATATGTTGAAGCTCTCACATTTTTTCTTTTTAATTGAATATATGCAACAAGTTGAAGATGAATACAATATCCACTACACTGTTTGAAATCACCGTGAAAAAACGGTCTCACCGGCGTTCTAGTGACCCGCCGCCCTGTGGAAATAAACCTTTTCGGCGATTTTTCAAATGTTTTACGGATTTCTAGCGTAAAATTTAAAATAAACCGGCGACACGGTGTTTTTTTTCACGCACTGGCCAGTCACAGAAATGCCGGTAATACCGTTCAATGGTGATTTTTCTAACAGTGTAGACGCGCTTTGAAGGTAACGTGACCGCTATCTATTGAACGTGAGGTAAGTTAGATATGAAAAATGTTGTGTAATATACCTATACGTTTCCTGAAAATGATGTCTTTCATTGTTGCTGACAGTGATGATGTCATCTAAAAATCTTTCACTCACTAAGATGCTGGACATGAGATGCTGGACTAGAGATTGCATACAGTCACCATGATTCAGATCATGATAAGCTATTAGAATACAATAATTTCTCAACACGACGCATTTATCGTGTGATTGTCGAGCATTTGTTCCTGATTAGGATCCCTTAATTCGGTGATGTTAGACTCATTAACTTAATTGCCGACATCAGATGCTGGGGATGCTGCACTCAGACAAATGTGTAAGAGTTTGTCCAAATATCAATGCACTTCCAGCACCTGTGTGGGTGGGTCATCGTGACCCAGTTTTGCCGTCTCAGTGGGTGTATCAGTGATACATGTAAACAATGTGTCGTTATGTGGACCATGTAACTCTTTCTTTTATTTGAGTGTCAAGCCTTCCATATAATAAATCAAAGGGATTCAACGCATGATAATTTGCTCTTCTTTTTAACTGCTTTTTCAAAGATTTTGCAGTTGAAATATTGAATTAAATAACTTAAATATTGTAAAAAATATTGAATATTAGCTTTGTCCGCTTAGTTTTTTGGTGAGAGCCAACTGACTTGGTTGAGGGGTTCATTTCATATTGTAGTTGTTGAATGCATATCAGCTTTAATGTTGATACCAGATGCCTGTATTAGAATGTTGGTTCGTCAATTATTACCTAATAGTATTTTTGAATACGATGAATGAATTTCGTAGAAGGAAATGTATTTTTTTTCTGCAATTTGAAAACTTTCCGAGCAGAAAATGGAAGGAGTCCGCAACTGTCAAAGAAACGAATCTCTTCAATTTCGCATAAACATTCGCTGTTGAATATTTAAAGCATTACCTAAACTTTTAAAAGAGATAACAGAATTAAATATTTAAAGCAATAACAGAGCCTTTATGAGAATTAATAGAATTCAATAGCTGGGGAGACAAACAGCACTGTGTTTGGATGCACATAAGATGGGTGATTTTCAGGAGGTTGGTTAGTTAACTTAAGTTTGGTCATGAATGCTATGCAAGTGATGATCTGAAGAAGCTTTCACTGGGTTGGATTTCATTTATTTTTTATGGTTAAGGTAAGTTCTCATATTGTTACTTTGTCGTTAATTCATTATTACTGAACATATTATGTTTCAACATATGCCTTAAAATGAGTATACTTTTATGCGGGTTAAGTTTGGGTCTACATTCCTACTTTTTACCAAAAAAGGTGTAATTTGCTTCAACCAATGACTTAGTTATTGATATATATACATGTTACGCGAATTTTATTTTCTTCGTGGAGAAATATGGTAGTAACGTTTAAGTGGAACTCCTATAAAGGAAAAGGCTAATTTTTTAATAAATAATGACTGCCATATAGGAGCACATTCTTGTGTTCAATGGGCCACAGTCATGGAAAAAACGAGTTTATTCAATTTCCTATCGTATCGTGGTTTCTTAAAAATTATGAATTATGGTCCATTGATCAGCGATATTTGGTGCTAGTGAGAATAAGGACGCCTGGGAAACATAGCATAGCTTAGTTACATTCAAGGTATTCAGTGAATTTCATTAAAATTTAATCATACAAACCAAATTCATTCAAAGGCCTTTAATCAGTTCAAGCAAACACAATCATTCAATTTATTCAATACAAGCACAAGGATTCAAAACAAGCGTAATTATACAGTGCATTGAATACAAACGCTATCTTTCAGTTCATTCATTACAGAAGCAATTATTTAATGCAAGCCAAAATATTCAACGCATGAAATTCAATGCACTCATTGAATCGGCAATCATTCGATGCTTTTAATTTAGGAACGCATTTATTGCCTTAGATTTAAATTGAAAAACATTTAATGCATTCAATTAAAGCTCGCATTCAATGCAATTAAGACATATAATGCACGTACAGTTCTTGTTGGTTTATCAAATTCTTGTAAATTCTGCTCCTAGAAAACCCGTTTTAATTAAGACTATAATGAAATGGGAGCGTTTTATTCACTCAAGTTGAATGGAAATCAAGATCACAATCACAGGTTGTCAATGGGTGTCATATATGCAACAAACAATGTGCGTCATATCGCAACAAACAAAGGGTGTCATATATGCAACAAACAATGTGTATCATATACGGAACAAACAATGTGCGTCATATCGCAACAAACAAAGGGTGTCATATATGCAACGAACAATGGGTGTCATATACGCAACAAACAATGTGTGTCATATACGCAACAAACAATGTGTGTCATATACGCAACAAACAATGTGTGTCATATACGCAACAAACAATGTGTGTCATATACGCAACAAACAATGTGTGTCATATACGCAACAAACAATATGTGTCAAATACGCAACAAGCAATAGTTGTGACAGAAACACAAAATTCCTCGGGAAAATCTTTTCGCTTTTTTCTATTTATTTCCATTTATCTTCCTTCAAATTTTCTGGAAAACAATGAATATTGATAATTCGTGAGGACTAAAAATTTAACAAATAAAAATCCAGAAATTGCATCTGTCAAAAAGGAAAAATACGTTTAGATTTTTTGGCGTGGTTTCCTGAATTTATGCGACACTAAAATTCTATCTGCGTGTTTTTTTCGGTGAAGACGTTCAGAAAATGAGGATTGTTCGACCGGATCGACTTGCAAATGTTAATATCTCTTTTCTCTATTATTTTTGTTTCATTAAAAGTCATCAATGACAAATTAAGTGATCATTTAAATGCTTTAAAATAAAGTAAACTTCTATTAAAAATGCAACAATTCCATAGTTGGTTGAAACTTAAACTAAAAATCTTATAGGCTAAATAACGAATATTTTAACGACAAACTCTAATGATTTAAATTTAATAGTTTTGTAGATTAGCGTTCCCAAATATCCTCTCATTTATCCCGACGTTCGTTAGAATGGCAGTCGCTACTGAAACCGTAGTTGGAAGCTGTCAAACACAGCCCCATAACTATCCATAACTTTGTCTTTCCATATTTTTTTCAATATTTCTATTCGTATATGTTTCTATAATTTTATCTATAATCATTTTCTACATTATTTCTATACTTTTTCAGTAATTATATCCATAATTTTGTCTATAATCTTTTTTAAAGTTATTACCATATTTATTTTCGTAATTGTTTCCATAATTCTGTCTATAATCATTTTCACAATTATTTCTATACTTCTTCCGCAATTTTGTCCAGAATTTTATCTATAATAATTTTAAAGTTTTTCAACAATTTTTTTGTTTCCAAAATTCTCGCCAAGTGCTTAGAGTTCTTCAATTACCAGCGCCCAAAGTTACTCAGGAGCTGAAATTCTCTGTAACTTTGGAGTACCAAGTCAATGTTCTGAAAAATTGCGGAATTGGAATAATTCTTCAAGTGCGAGGTTTTATTTATTTATTTATTATTATTTTTTTAATTTTGTCAATGCCCTTCCCATGCAGAATTTGCTGCATTACGACCATAGAATTCGAGTTTTCTTTAATTCCGCATCAACAATGAATTTTCACA